GTTAAAACCTATATTTACGTATTAGTAGTCAAATTTTTAAAATTTTGGGGTATTTCGCAAATGCGCCGTAATGTTAAGTCATAGAAGTTCCTAGATATCATATCAGCGAATTTGCGGAATTGACCTAACAATGCAATTGTAAAGCCGACCCCAAAATTTCAGCTATTAATGAACAGGAGGAACCGTCGATGTTACACGACTGATCTTCACCCGGTGTGCAACATATAAAAAAATTAATTTACAATCTCCGCTAATACATGTTATGATTATAATCCCACATCATTTTTATTATAATAAAATGGTGTGGGAGGAATAATCTGGTATTGCAAATTAATTTTTTTATATGTTGCACACCGGGTGAAGGATCAGTCGTGTAACATCGACGGTTCCTCCTGTTGTTATTATGCATTCTGCAATATTTAAATCCAGGGACCCTAGATACATTTGCAAATCCGCCGATATGAAGTTATTATCCGGATTAAAGGATTATTTGAAACGTAACTATAGAATTTAGATTAGATCAACCAATATATCTGTTACTATTTTTAGATAAAATTTTAGCTCCTGACATTTGCCTCCTACTTTCGGATTGGAATGGTTACCCAAACCTGGATCTGAATTACTCATCATATAACGACAACGATAATATCCCATTTTAATTATCAAATAGCCAATCAAATTCATAGTTTAAATGTATACTAACGTAAAATGCAATACAATTATATTCCTCATTATATTCGTATCCTCATATTCATTGGTTTAATTCGATTGGTTTAATTCGATAGGTCTTCCTGCAGCACTACTATAACTTTAAAATCTCGAAGATAATTTAAATAGTTAATCTACAATATATATAAATAATTCGAGTTAATTTGCAACTGTAATGTAGTCTATTTATAATTGACATACGTCTAGTGTTCCAATTTGAATTAAAAAAACTCGGTCTGATTCATGAATGGAAACCGATCCGGATCAGAGGCCAATCCGTAGTTTTTAGATTTACAGCTGTTTCATAAATTCTTGAACAAATGAAAAAACTGCCGATGACCGAATCGATAAGTTTCTGAGTTCGGTTACTTATTCGATTCGGTCATCGATAATTTTTTCGGTAGTTCCCGAATTTATGAAAACAGCTGTAATCATCATTTTAACAGTATCGTTATATAGAATTTATAATGTAAAGACCCTAATTTCAAATTCAGGTTTAAACAGGGCCAATCCTAACTTTTGGCAAAACCGATTTTACGGTTCGGAATCATTCGAAACCCTCGGATCCGAATTAAGGAACACTAGTATGATACGTCATACAGAAGCAAAAGAATATTTCTGTTACATTTATGGAACATTCATTATAATTATTCAACATCGGAAAATTTTTAACTTAAAAAACTTCTCGAACAAAGTCATATTTTAACAACAGATAATAACTATATAATCTAAAAAAAAAAAAGGGTTATATTAAAAAAAAAATAGAATTTTTGAATAAGAGGTTCAATTTTCGCGTGACTGCAATTGACTAATGAAATTAATGTATTTCGCGCCAAAGCATAGAATTTTTTTAAACCGTTAAAACTTTTTAAAGCCAAATTTTTTCAAATAAACTGACCGATAACCTTATACACAGAAGTGAGCTCTACAAACTTATCGGTTGATTTTTTTTTAAAAAACTCTTCTGTAAAAAGTTATGTCTGTTCGAAAAAAAAATCCAAATCTTCAAATCGATATGACTCTTTATAAAAAAAAACTTAAAAAAATTTGTTTGTAAAAAGGCTTAGCGTTTTAAAAAATACCATGTTTTTGGCACAGTATGCACGTACGTACATACATACAAGAATGTCAAAATACATTAATTTTATTAGTCAATTGCAGTCACGCGAAAATTGAACCATTTCACGTGATTGTCGGTTATAAGCTTCCGGCACCAAACATAATTTTCCATTTTATGTTCTATTACAGTAAAAACATCAAAATTTAGACCTTACCCTGACCCTAATGCTAAACTAGCTCGAATTTTTTAAAATTTCGTAAAACAACTTGGTGGGCATACAGTGATTAGTTAGTATGGTTTATAATTGGGTGGTGGGTAGACAAATTCCGTGTAGATTTATTATAAAAAACCAGATAAGCCTGACTGTTTATCATTCATTCATCTGGATATAACAATTAACGAAGAAAACTTCTTGAAAACAATACAATATGATATTACGTTAATTGTCAATTTAGTAATCATTGTAAAGATTTGATCCATTCTCTATTCTCAGTTCTATTCAATAAATGCCCTACTACACAAGCCTCTTTCCCTTTAAATGCAATTCCTATTTCCAAAAGCCTTTTAACTTCGTCTTGTAGACCTGCTCGATACTGCTTCTCTTCTATTTGACATAATACCTCATGAACCGCTTCGGTTAAACTTTTATTATTACGAACAATTTTAAATTCAATAATGATAGCCATTTCACCAACACCCGATTTTGGAACTATTTTTACATCATATCTTCCCACACCAGCCTCATGATTAGAATGAACGATATAGCCTCGATCACGAGCAACAACAAACATTCCCAAGCAAAAGGCATGATAAA